AAATAAAGACAAAAAGTCCAACCATCTACTGATCCAGAAGCAAATGGATGTAGAAGAGAAGCCTACACCTATGTCTGTCTGTTACTCCATAGCACTCTAGGCCGAGCCTGTCTGCAAAGCAGGGTTCAATAAACCTGTGCTTTCCACTACTGTAAACCTCCACCAGCCGGTCAGGGCATATTATTTACTTAATAACAATTTATTCCTTCCACATGTCTGCTTACGAATGAATAAGTCTGTGGAAAATGAATTCACATTCTTAATTGCTGGGTGGAGCTACATCTTCATTGAGAAATAGGTGCCTCTGTGTGAACAGATTGTGAAACAATCTGTATCCCTCCCGTCTTCCCATGCACATCTGCATCTGATACACATATTCGTGGCTGCATATGTCTTGAGAGAATCAGATCTCCTTCAGGATTCAGAGTTGGGTGAAAAGAAATCTGATGAAGAATGTTAGGTTTCGTTGCATCAAGGGAAACAAAATTCTTTACTTACGACAAGAAGCTTTTGTCATAATTGTATTTAAATATTTTTGGTTAATTATGTGCTTGTGTGTTAGGGGTGGGTATGTGCACATGAGTGCAGGAGCCCCAGGAAGCAAGAGGCATCGAGTACCTCAGAGCTGCACTGGCAGCCAGTTGTGATCTGCGATGTGGGAGCTGAGAACTGAACAACAGGCTTCTGGGAGAACAACAAGTGCTTTTAATGGCTGAGTCATCTCTACAGCACTGTGATCATATTTTAAAAAACCACAGTTTTTGACAGAGTCTCAAGCAGCCTGCAGTGACTTTGAACTTGGTATATAGCTGAAAATGACCTTGAACTCTTGATCTTCCTACTCCAGCTCATGAGTACTTCGATTGCAGGCATGTGCAATTTTAATTTTAATTGTGAGTTTGAGACACATATAATCTAGTAAGAAAGCAATCTTTAATAGTATAAGAAATAGCTGGGTGCTAAATTTCATGTTGAATCTGGAACCTTCCCCAAAGATGTGTCTTGGATATTTGTGTGGTCTCCTATGCTAAAATTTTGCTTGACATATCCTCACTTATGATTACAATTTCAAAATTAAAAACATACAACCCCTCATAATTTCTATTTGTTGTAATGCGTATAAAGCATGTTTTATTTTTTCAAGCCCATAAGAATAGTTTCTTCTCTGAATTCATACATCCCATAGAATCATCAATTTAATTAGAGACTCCTGTATGGTTTATGTTAAGATCAGAGATATATGTTTCTCTCATATCACTTCTTCTTCTCATAATCTCTTCTTCACTATTTGATGTAGTTGCTGTTTGAACTATGCAGAAACTTTTGCCCTCTTATTTGCCCCATTTTTCACACTTATACATTCCTATTCCTGCATGCATCTCTGCACATTTTCATTATGTAGTCTTTATCTACATACAGTCACACCTTGGTTTCCCAAACAACAACCTTCTCTATAATAATTACTTTCTGTCTTGTGTTAAAGTTAATGCAGAACTTATCTGGACTTCTGGATGGAAAGTTTTGTAGATGCCTCTTTGAAAGACAAAGGTGGTTTCCAGTATCTCCCAGTACTGTGTGCATCTAATATGATACTTTGTATGCAGAGTATTTAACAGGTGCTTCAGGATGAGTCATGCCTCACACCCATTCTTTTGCTATCTTTATAAATATCAGCCAATGGTCTTAATTAAAAGCACCAAGAAAAGTAGGACAAACACTCTTACATCAGTTTCCCTCTGAAGTAAGGGAGTCTTGCTGGGCAGAAGAGCACCTGTTTAAACACCCAAGCATGTGAAACGATGACAGTCAGCTGCAGAGTGGTAGTTCCTGTAGCTGTGGAAGCAGCTGCAACCTCTGAGTCCCAACCACACTTGGGAACCGGCACGCAGAGCTTTATAGACAGTGTCACTCTATGTTTGCGGATGAACAGAATGCAACCTTGATTTTGGGACTGATGAAAGTTCACCTTAGGAAAATGTACAACTTACATTTGCACAGCTTGTCTTGGGGGAAGCAGCAATGATAATTTAAGTTTTTTTTTAATTCTAAAACTGCCCCTTTAAACTAATATCCTGAAACACCTTCTCTTCTTTTCATTCATGTCTTCATTAAAAATATTTTTGTTTATTCTGTGAAAATTTCATACAAGTGTATAATGTATTTGGGTCATATCCACCTCCATTACTTCCTTCAACTATTTATAATCCCCCACATCCCTGTCCAAACTTCATGTTTTAATAATTCAATGAATCTAGCTAATCCCCATGGGCACATGGGTATGGGCTGTTCATAGGATCCTAGTCAACCTACCAACCCACCTTCCCCAGTAGCCATAGGCTGTCAGTAATTCCACAGGAAGGGGTGGAATTACATGTCCTTTCTCCACCCAGGCTGGAATGTTGACTGGCTTGATCGTGTATTGGCCACATGCAGGTAACTACAGTTGCCATGAGCTTGTGGGCATAATGGCCAAAAAACACTGTCCTGCAGAAGTGCTCCCCAAACTCTGACTCTTACCGGTTTTAACCCCCCTCTTCTGCATGCTCCTCGGGTCTTGCAGGGAGAGATATGATACAGATGTCCCACTCGGGGTTGAGCACTCCACAGACACTTGTTCTCTTTCCTCTGTCCAGTTGTTAGCCTTTTTATTAACTGCTGTCCATTGCATAAAGATGCTTTCTGATAACTGAGAGCTGCACTAACCCATGGGTATGCAGATATGAATTTGGAAGGCAGTTTGATTCTATTTCACTTTAACAAAGTAACAACACGATAATAGGTTTACTTCTGGGGCTTATGAGCTCTGAAGTTACAGTTTCTTGGTCAGATTTATACTACAAAGCTTGAGTTTTCTCCAATGGAGTAGGGGCCTAAGTCCTATTAGAAAACAGTTGGTTATCCGCATTTTGCTAGTGCGGTCATTATTGTATTTCACAGGATTCACAGAAAGTCACCATTTCCTTCTTTTCTTTACCATCTGTTTTTCTATTGTTAACCCTAGTGTCTCTTGATTGAAGATATAATCAGAGTCCATAGCATTGGAATTACCATTGGATTTTTGAATACTTCTTTCTCTAAAATCCATATACTCTTAAAAGTCAACTTGTTTTTTTTACTTAAAAAGATATTTCTCAAAAATTGAGCCCTTTCAGTTGCTCTAGTTCTTTGATTCAGTTCCATAAATATAATGAATGATTTGCCATAGTTTTCTCAGTTGCTATGTGTCCTACAGCAACCACAATTTCCATATTTTTTATTCATCACTCATCTATTTCTTCATCTTTCTAAAACAATGGTCTTTGATTAATATGGACCCACTCCTTTTTAAAATTACCAGCTAGTTTTATCTCTCACTACTACACTAATATGGATGTTGCCCACAGATCTATCTCTGCAGTATTTGTCAGTGTGAGCATTTTGAGGAGTTTTGAAGATTTCTTCCTAATTTTTTCCAGGATGTTATGGAGTTTTTTTTCTGATTTTTTCAGCTAATCATTTTAACTTTCTTTCATATATTCCCTAAATGTAGGTTTTCTGCTTTAGTTTAGATATGCTGTGTCCCTCATGACTTCCAGTTGAAATTTTAACTCCTATTGTGAAATTTTGGGAAGATTGAAACAATAGGGTGAGATGTTTACAGATGTAGCCTTTGAAAATGATTAGTGGTAGATGAAGACATTAGAAATGGAACTGTCTTGAATGACTCCTGGTGATTCTAGAAGAAGGGAGGGAGATCATGTATACAGACTAGTGGCCTGTCTCTTGTCATGTGACACCTTGAACTTCCTTGAGACTCTGCCAGCAAAAAAGGCAGAGTATCTTCACAGTATTAGACATTGCTCCTAAACTTTTAACTCCCAGAACTGTGAGTCCAAATAAACCTTTTCCTTAACTGTAGTAGGTATTTCACAGTTTAAAAACCAAAACAAAGCAGATCAATCTGTCTTTACCTACTCATTTAAAATGCCATCTCTTAACATTTGTCCTCTCCTTTAGTGACTTCATCTATTTGCATTTTTCAAGTGACCATTTATTTGCCATAATCTTCTTTAGCTGATATTCCTATTAAACCTCGACAGACTCCTGCCACAGGACTGCTATTCTCTCTTAAAAGAGCACCCATGATGAGCTCACCAATTGTAATAATCCCTGTGTTTCCCAGTTAGTGCTGCTGAATTGGTATAGGTGATCACACCCCACTTGTCTTGTTTTATTCATCTTCACAGTATCTGATTCTTTTCTAACCCCTCCTTATGAAAGCCTTCCTTGTGCTCTGCAAATCCAGGTCCATGGCTCTCTGGGCTTTAGCTTCTACAGCTCATGGATTCCTTTGGATCCATACTTTGGCAACCCACTATCATTCCTAACGTGTTATCAATTCAGTTAATTAATCTCAAGAATTAATATCTAGTAGTAGTAGAAGTGACTGTCTGGCCTCAGTGGATTCTGAGCACCAAAGGTTTGCTGGGCTATCAGCTGAATCTCTGTCTTAGTGCTGATTGAACGTCACTTCCTCTTCCTCGATGGCTAATCCTCTTCCTAAGTCTGCTGTGTCAAGCACTGTACAATGTATGTGGAATCCACAAATGACTGAAGTATGTTCTACCTTCAAATGGCTAGAAAGACTGTGAAGCCACCAATAGGAAGAGCCATAAGGAGACAAGCAAAAGATCTAGATCACATGACACACTTACTTGTGAGCCATTGCTTGCATATTCATGCTCTAAGACTGTAAGTTCCTCATGGCAATCATGCCATCTTTTGGTCATTATATCTTGCAAAATTATGGGCCTAAGTAATAGAGATGATCCATATTTACTGAGTTAGTAAATGAGTGATGCTTGAAGGTGGAATGGCTGGCCTGCAGTAGATTTGGTGGCCAGATATCTGTAGTCTCTACCTCTGAAGATTCCTCTAGAACTGTTCCCAGAGAGATCCTAGAGTTCCAGAGTACAGAGTATGACAAGAGTCATCCTCATTCCAACCTGGGAAAGTGACTGCTCGACATACACAGGCCGTGTCTCACTCCTAGGAAGATCCCGGGCCTAGCATAAAAGGGCTCCTGTGCCAGGCAGGCTCACCAGTCCTTAGCCTTAGCAGCTTCGGTTCTTGCTCCTTCTGCAGACCTGGTGAGTGCTTAACAAGGAAGGCTGGGGAGGGAAGGAGGAAAACAGGAGAAGGCAGAGGACTAGCAAGACCTACTCCAGTAGGGTAGGGACTCGGGTGAAGGGTTCTTCAGTCTCATCTTGACCTAGGCCTGTGACATCTCCTGACCTCTCTTGGTCTGATCAATATCTGGAGCAACAAGTACTAGGACCTGGGATGTGACTGTTTCAGTTTGGGACAGGAAAGTAAGCAGGAAAAATGGCAATGGAAGAATGCAACAAGCCGGAGAGTCCTGAGAGTTGGGATGCTGGTGTCTGGGTCTTTAAAATCTTCCCCTTTAATCCTCTTCTAGGAAGCATTCCTAGAGAGCACAGGGTCTCACTGACTGTGTAAGAAAGATAAGTCCATCGCAGAGAGAGTCTTGAGTGCCCAGGAGATGTATGGAATATGTATTGAGGCCAGTGTTAGAAGATGACCAAAACTACTCACTGGTGGAAAAGGGAGTGTGTTAGAACTTTTGCTGTACTAAATTTCACTTTGTATCAGTTCCCAGTTAGAGTTACAGGTCTGTTCATGGAATAGATTGCCTTGGAACTGGCATCTAAAAGAAGAGGTTGGATACATTTGCTTGAAACCTGTGCTAATGGCTTTTATATTTCTCCTCAGGTTCACAGGCACCCTCTCAAAAATGTCCTGTCAGCAAAACCAGCAGCAGTGCCAGCCCCCTCCCAAATGTCAGACCCCGAAATGCCCTCCGAAGTGCCCACCAAAGTGTCCCCCTAAGTGCCCCCCTGTGTCATCCTGCTGCAGCCTGGGCTCTGGTGGCTGTGGCTCCAGCTCTGGTGGCTGCTGTGGCTCCAGCTCCGGGGGCTGCTGCAGCTCTGGGGGTGGCGGCTGCTGCCTGAGCCACCACAGGCCCCGCAGATCTCTTCGTCGCCATCGTCACAGCTCTGGATGCTGTAGCAGTGGTGGCAGCAGTGGGTGCTGTGGCAGCAGTGGGGGCAGCAGTGGCTGCTGTGGCAGCAGTGGGGGCAGCAGTGGCTGCTGTGGTAGCAGCGGGGGCAGCAGCTGTGGCAGTAGCCAGCAATCTGGAGGCTGCTGCTGACCTGGGTCATGAAGACTTCAGACAAGCAATAAAGGAGGAAGCCGTGTTCAGAGGACCTGCTCTTGACTGCTATTCATCCCATCTCTTCCTGTCTTGCATGATCTGGACTCTGAGATGATGAAATTTTGTGTGAAGTTTCAAATTGCCCCCCTCAGCCACACCCCCTTCTGTGATTCAAAATAAATTATTTCCTACCAATCTTTAATTTCTTACTTATTTTCCCCAACATTCTCTCCAAAGGTAATTGTTGGCAACTGGAATTCAGTGGTGGTCTTTTTAGGATGTAAGTCTGGTTCAGAAATGTGGATGAAGCCACTATGCAAAAAGTGTTGTTGATGAGCCAGACCAGTTTCAAATGGTAGGCAAAACATAGTATCCTGGCTATAAGTTCGTCATTGGCAAAATATACTGATGTTGGTTTAGACATAATTATGAAAGGCTGTGTGAAAAGGAAACATACCTATGGAAATTTCTATTACAATAGTAGACACATTTGGGGTGGAGAAGCAGGAGAGGGGTGGGGCGAGGCATGTAGCTAGAGGAAGGTTATTGTCAGGAACCCAACTTTCAAATAAATGAGATGGGACAGCTAACCAAATCGAAAATTAAGGAGACTCTATCATTTACATTTTTGTTGCTTTGAAAAATACCTGAGAGAGCCAGTTAAGGAAGAAAGGGTGTATTTGGCTCACAGTTTGTGGCTTCAGTCCACCATGATGGGGACGGGAACTTGAGGTGGCTGTTCACACTGCACAAGCCATAAAGAAGCAAAGGAGGATGCTGACGCTCAGCTCACGCTCTTGTTGAGGACCCCAAACCAGGTAATGATGTCACCCATGTTCAGGATGCTTCCATAGTGATTCTAAATTCTGTCAAAGTGACAATAGGATTAACCATCATGGGCCACACTTACACAAAGCAGGGACAGAAGAAATTGAGATATAAGAACTGTTTTCTGTAGTTCTGTATACCTAAGATCCTCATCACCCTAAAGTGTTTTCTCTTTATAAACTTTCAGGGCTTTCAAACTATTTCTAGTAGTCCTGGAAATATATGATTTTGAAACTCTGTTAATTTTCTAAATTAGAAATTGTGCTCCATAGGTTTGATTTGCCCAAGTTCACACATCAAGAGCAAGGGCTGTTATCAGTGTCTGCCTCCCCACGTGCTGGTCTTCTCCCCACGTGCTGGCCTTCTCATTCTTTTCCCTCCCAGACACTGCTCTTCCTCCACTCTGCAGCAGTGAAGGACATGTTGATGGCTAGGAAGCTGTCATTAGTGATGTTTTGGTGACCCCTGAACCCAGTTCAGTTTCCTTCTTGAATGCAATTACTTCATTTTGCTTTCAGAACTTCCTTATCTGGGGGAAATGGTCTCTCGTTCACATGCTCTTATGTTGTCTGTGTCTCTCCACTCTAACATACACTCTGAGAATTTGGATGGTACAGCCTTCAGAGACATAGTTTGAATGTCATCTGCCTCCTCATCGAAGTGTCGCAGGACACAAGGTAGGAAGTCATTTCAGGATACCTTTAGCCTGTAGTCTAGCCTATTTGGCTCCCAGTAATGACACACCTCTTTTCTGAAGATGTGTGTTACACAGAGGCTACAAGGTGGTATGAAACAATGACAGAAGTGGCATGGTTCTAGGCATGCTACTACAATGCTGTGTTCTTTCTCGGCTATACCAGAGTCAGGGCTTCTTTTTTTATTTTTTTATGAGACAGGGTTTCTCTGTATTGTTTTGGAGGCGAGTCAGGGCTTTTTTATGCAGACCACCATCTCTGCTGCATGCTTTGTACAGCGAGAGTGTACAACGTCCTTAGCCCAGGCCACAGTCAAAGAGTGTTTTTATTCCAAACAATTACTGTGCCCATTTACACATGTTGTCTTGAGTGCTTTATTATGTCACTGAGACGTTTTCATCAGTGATACGGATGAATTATTTTATTTAGTAAAATTCTGATTGTATGACTTGAAGTAAGTTTATTAACTCAATTGTGCTTTAATATAGTCCTTGTAAAGGGGAGAGAAAATCTATTGTCTATGTTCTAGCCTGTTGGGAATTGAATGATTTTTAACATCACATATATGGCAGCTTTCTATGTCAATGCCATAATTTTCTAACAATGACTGATTTTTAATAATTCAATTTAAATCTGACCCTAACTCCCAGAGTTAGTATAGACCCCACCGCCTAAGGCTCAGAGCTGCTACCATTCTTCTTACCTCATCTTCTCACTGTGCAATGGTTCCTGGTGTGCTCATTTGTCTGCCTGGATGACTACAAACTTCCTCCTGAGCTCAGAGATTCATTAGAACAATTCACAGAACTCAGGAAAGGGTTCACCTACGATGATGTGTTTGTTGTTAAAGTTACAACTGCACAATAGTCTAATAGTATAGCAGGAGTGTTAGTCAGCTTTGTGTCATCATAACAAAATACTCAAGCTATTATAAGGAGCAAATTATTTTGACTCAACCTTTTGGAGGTTTCAACCCATTCTTACTTGGGTTTGTGTTGAGGCAGCACAGAATGAGGGACCGTATGACAGGAAAAGCCCTCATTTCATGGTCAAAGTAATCTGAGAGCAAGATGAAAGGTTAGGGCCCAATATCACTTTCAAGGACATGATTTCAGGATTTTCCATCCTTCTCTTAAAGTCCCACACCCTAAAGCTCCCCAAAGCATCTAAGGGCAGAGGTTAAGTCTTTAACAATTGGTCCTTTGGGGAGGAGGACTTACACAAATTGTAGAAGATGCACAAAGACATGTACAGAGGGAAGGGGACAGAGCTCTTTTAAGTCATTTCCTTGGGACCCATTCAGTTTCCACAAGGTTAATATATTTATGAATCCAGAAGCTGGTGAATGACATCCCTTCAGGTTTTGGATGTAGGTCAACCATCTTGATGGGGCTGAGATTTCCACCTCTATGATCATGTTCCAGCTCCCACTCCTGAAGGTATTTATACTTCTCACCATCTTATAAGTATATACTCAGGCACAATCTAAACTTTAGACTCTAAAAAGACTTGCTGTGAATAACAATGGATATCCCAGACACCGAAGAAAACCAAGGGATTTTGAAGTTTTGTTCCAGGGACAAATATTAAAACAAAAAGCCCAATAGAATGAATTTATTCTGTGGAATATGGTTCTTTTGCCAACATCATCGAGGTCAAGCTATATTCATCATTAATGAGAACAACATCACTATGACCATGGTCACTCCCAACAATGATCTTCATTCCTTGAACAAACCACCCTTAACTCAGTCCTTATTATCCCTTTCCTTTCTAAACATCTGAGATCCCTGTAATAAATTCCACTGTGCTGACACTCACTTGGATACTACATTACATTCCAATGAAGTTTTTAGTTCTATAATTGTTATATGCTTGTCCTTCATAATTCCTTATAAAATTGTTTTTCCTTGTTGATTATTTACCATTTTCTTAAACCCATTCATTCATTGATAGGTAAAATAATGACCTTTGTCCTTCTTTCATCTTAAAACCAGTTTCTTCAGAAACACAATTAACGTGTGAGAAACTGAATGAAGAGGTTCACTCCCTGGATCATTCTTAAATCTTTTCTGCTTGAATTATCCCCCCCCCTCTCTCTCGTCTTAGGTGAATTCTGACTTTTCTGTGTTTCATCTCTTTTCTTTCATCATCTGATATCCATACACAAAAGCCAAGAATGCCAACTTGATTTTGCTCATGATGGTCTTGCTGGCTTCTTCCTTGCTCTTAGCATCTCTTATGTCCTTATGTTATGTGACTTATGCAGTCATGTGGCTGTTAGTTATGTGCCCTTCTCACAAAACTTGTAGCACCCAGGACTTCTGTAATAGGGAAATCACATGAATACTTACTGACTCTTGAATTCTCAGCACAAGGGTTTCCCTTATATTTTACCTAGCAGAGAGCTCATTCTAAGGCAGGACAAATTTACTTTCTAATTAAGTTCTTTTTTTCTAATTTCAGATTTATCACTGAGGCATATAGACTTGCATTCTAAAATTATCTACCTTTTTATCTTTTTAAAAACTAAGTAAAACATGATCACTGTTAACCTAGGTGCATTTATCACTGTCTCCTTCCATTTTCAACCCCCTACAGCCTCTCATAATGCTGACTCTACCATATCCCTACTGTTCCTTAGGCTGTCTTCCAGACCTTTCTTGAGCCCTTGTTCCGTGTCAGTGACCTTAGCTTCACCCCTTCTCCTAACCTGCTTATTTACTCTATACTCTGCCCAAATGTGATTCCCTTAGGCCTCTGTTCCCAGTTAAGGTAGCATTATGGGAATACCTAAATGAGATAACATCCAAAGGTCATGTTGTGTTGCACCTATTATGTGCCTTCTTTCAGGGAATTCCTAAATCTCAAATCATGGTATCCCAAGACACTGGCCTCACCCATTGGTCTAAAAAGTCCCAAATCATTCATGCTTTTATTCAGTTAGCTAATAAGTTCTTTAAGGCTACTAGAGTAAAAACTCCTGAAAGGAAGCCATGTCTACAAAGGTTGACAGATTAATATTCAAATGTCTGTAGAGAGTTTAGACAATTGTAAATCCCAGAGCTCCCCCAAGGAACCATTGCTTTTCTACCTCTGTGTCAGACCTAACACCCTGATAAACAGATCAAACCCTTTGAAATACATTAGCTTAAGGAAACTCTATTCTCTACTAACCAAAGGGTAAGAATATTGTCAGATAAAATCTGAGGCCTCTCTACCGGTCTGTAACCTGCTTCTGGTATTTCCACCAGTGTATTTGAAATTTTTCATGATTTATAACGTTGTCCTGATATAATGGCCTCTTAGGAGTTCACACCTGGGTCATGGCACTTGGCTGTAACACTTAGCAGAAGGGTTTACTGTGCATTGTTTACACATCACACATCGTGTCCCCAAGACAACTTAGCTAATCTTTATGACAAAAGCAGCTTGCAAAACCCAAGACCAAAATAGAGAACATATACTTATTGAAATAGCCAGTAAATGTATACATGATCCTGGAATGGCTGAACCACAACAGGCCTGTGAACAGCTATCCTGGCATCCTTGTCTTTTAGGATTTCCCTTGGCATCAAGGAGCTTCCAGGAAGTCCAGTGCTGGGACAGATAAGAGTCAGTCTCATTACAGCTGTGGAAGTGACATATATAGGCTGTGCCTCATTCCTCGGA